CGCAGTTCAGCTGAAGTGCGTGCGAGACCCCTTCCAGGTCTACTCTGCACCGGCACTGTCGGTTGAGATTCCCGCATCGTTGCCAGGGACCGGGAATGGTTCTCTGCCGGCCTCGCGGTTCTCGGCTTTGTCCTGGGTCGCGTGCTCGTTCCCAGGGGGCCAGCCTGCCGGGTCCTCCTACTTCGGCTTCTACCTTGCCGTCGTACGGGGCCTATCGGCGTCCTGTCCCTGCTCTGCTGGTTTGCCTGCTGCTGGTGTTGGCGTTGGGTTGTGGTCACCTCAGCAGCGCCTACCCCTAGGGGCTGGCCCTCTGAGTTGTGCATCCTCTGCGGGGGGGTCAGAGGAAACCCTGCCTCAGCTTCCTGTGGCGGTCGTTCAGTGGGGCTGCCGTGGGGCGGGTCCCCCCTGAGGTTGAGCCAGGTGGGGTCGACCGCCCTGAGCCCGCTGGTATTGGGGCCGGGAGCGTCACCCATGGCGACGGAGAGGATCCTTTCGAGGATCTCTTCGGTTAAGGGGGAGAAGGGGCATGCCGGCCCTCCCGCGTCGGGGATTCCGTTAGCTGCGGCTTGTAGGTGCGCGCAGGCGTCGCCCGCGGTTAGGGCCGCGCTCTCGGCCCCCCTACGCAGTGGGAGGGACTAGGATGCACGGACAGAGCAGAGTGGAGGACAGTTCGCAGCGCCATCGCCTGGGGCACTTCCATGCTTCAACTCGCAAAGCAGATCAGACAGGTGTTCACCAGAGCCTACTTATCTCACAGACTGATCACCCCCTTCAAGGCATACTGGGCACAGCACCCGCCGATCGGCACAAGGAGCTCGGCTCCCGAGAGGCCTCCCACGATATCAGAACGAACCACCAACCAAGAAGCTGTTAACCCACAACCCAGGCACGGAAGCGGGATGGGCCGAAGGCCACTGTACATATGTATGTGTGTAAATACATGTGTTTATATGTGCATACATATATGTACATGTGTACACATCAGGAGTGAGAGGTCCAACGGTCATTCACTATCCATGGGCGCGTGGCTGAAGTGAGGTTCTGCGGTGCGGATTGGTGTTGTTGCTGCTGTTGTTGGTGATGATGTTGCTGCTGTTGATGTTGTTGGTGTTGTTGCTGGTGGTGTTGCTGTTGTTGTTAATGTTGTTGTGGCTGGTGTTCGTGTTATTATGGTGTTGCTGCTGCTGGTGTTTGTGGTGTTATTATTGGTGTTGGTGTTGCTGTTGTTGTTGTTTGTTGTTGTTGCTGCTGTTGTTGCTGTTGTTGCTGAACTCTCAATTCTGAAGAAGAAAGAAGTGTTGATCCCCCCTGCCCGGTGCACACTGTATTGGTTCAATTGAGAAGCCTTTTCCCAGGGCTCGCATCCTGTTTAATTTTCAGAAAAAAAAACCTTAAACTGCACCCCTGGCCCCCGAGTTACAATAATAACGGCTTCAGCCTGATACTTCCTCACATGTTTCCAAAGTCGCACTCTCGCGCGGGACGTCCTCGCTAGTTATGCAGGAACCGCGCTCTCGCGTGGGAATTCCTCGCACTTTATTCAGACGCCGCGCCCTCGACACTCAGGACTCGCGCTCTCGCTTTGGTCTTTCTAACGATTTACTTTGGAATCGCGCTATCGCTCGCACTTCCCTCGCGATTCAAGTAGTTTTCATGCTTCAGCAAAACGCCTGCTCGACCTGGTCGCCTGGGCCTGCCTTCCCGACCCGCCCGTTCGCCCGATGGGCCCGTCTGGTTCTGCCACGTGCGTTTTGCTCCTCGCCCCCCTCCTGCTAATCCCGTGCTCCATCCTTCTCCCTCCCCCTTCCATCCATCCTCTCTTCTCCTGCTTCAGGGGTTGCACCGATTGCACGCGGCAGGTAAAGAAGGTATACCCCCAGGGGGTCAGATCGAAAACGAAGAGGGCGGGCACCAAGGGTCTGCGATAATTATACGCGTTGAATGGCACGCGAAGTGGTAAGAGTGAACAGTGTTACTGTGATTGGTGTTGATGTTGTTGTTGAGGTTGTTTGTTGTTGCTGCTGTTGGTGTTGTTGATGTTTTGTTGTTGTTGCTGATGCCGTTGTGTTTGTTGTTGGTAATGTGTGATCATGTTGTTGTTGCTGTTGTTGATGCTGGACTCTCACGAATGAAATAATAATTATTGTTGTTCCCCCCCCTCCGGTGCACATTGCATTTTTCAATTGAAGTGCCCCTCCAGCGCTTGCACCACGTTTTTTTGTCAGGGAAAATAACTCCTCCTCAAACTGTGCCCCTGGCCCCCGGTTTACAACAACAACGGCTCCCGCTTGATATTTCCTCGAGATTTGCTCCGGCCCCCCGCTCCCGCTTGAGACTTTCTCGCAATTTACTCGAGAATCGCGCTCCCGCCTGAGACTCCCTTGCAATTTACTCAGGCGCCGCGCTCTTGCCATTCAGGAATCGCGCGTTCGGTGGGGACTTCCTCAAATTAAATTAGGAATCGTTCCCTCGCAGGAAACTTCCTGGCGAATCACGCAGAACCCACGAAGAAATATATACCCACCAAAAATGATATGATCGAAGGCGAAGAAGGCGGGTGTCGACAGTTCGGGACATGCATACTGAATGACACTCGAACAAATAAGAGCGAACAATAGTTAAAATATTGTTGTTGTTGTGTTTGGTGTCGACGTCCCCCACGCGACCGCCCACCCGCGACCTATCTGCGACCCACCCGCGATCCGCCCGCGACCAACCCGCGACCCATTCGCGACCCACCCTGCGACCCGCTCGCGACCCGCCCGCGACCCACCCGCAACCCGGCCCACGACCCACCCGCGACCCACCCGCGACCCAGCCCGCGACCCACCCGCGACCCACCCCGCGACCCACCAACACTGCTTTTTCACTGAAAAACAGTGCCTGCGGCAAGCGCGTTGTATAACTTGTAGATGTCAAGCGCCTGCGGCGGAATTCTTCATAGCCTCGCAGACTGCCGACGCCCCCGCCACCCCCTCACTCTTATCCGCAACTGCGGGGTGCTACATAACTCACCCTTGTCTGGCCACAAAACGTGTTGGCAGGGCGGGCAGGGCACTTCGCCTGAGGATTCCTCGCAACGTATGGTCCTGAAGGTTGAAGCTTCCAACGGCTACGGCACACGGCCGTTTTCTACATGAAGCTCTCGCCTTAGCGCCGCGCCCACTCGTCTCCACAGCTTGCAACAATTGCAATAATGGACGGCGACCGTTGCCAAAGTGGAGCCTTTGCTTAAACGCCACGCACATTAGCTGTTAAAGCATTCAACCAAAACAGGGATGGAGGGCGGCTATTTTTCAAAATTAGGCCCTCGCCTTACCGCCGACCGAATTCGTTTACATGTTGAAGGATGGAGGGCGGTTCTTTGTCAAAGTGGGGCTCTCGCCTGAGAGCCGCGAACATTCGTCTTACACGTTTGCAACAGTTACAAGGCGATTTCTTTTCAAAGTTGGGCTCTCGCTAGAGACCCCCTTGATCGCAGGAACCAAACAGTTGGCCAGAGGTTACTGATGCACGGATGGAGAACGGCTTCTTCTAAAAATAAGACTCGCACTTGAGACTGCCTAGCACTTAGGAAACCATACACATGATGATATGCAAGACCATCGTCTGTGATCGCTTCACTGGCGCAAAATGTCAAGCCTCCCCCGCTCTGGAACTGGCTCCCCCACCCTCGAACATCTTCCCCCCGCCTGTACGGAACCCGGCCCCCCCCGCCCTCGCCGCCGCCAAACAACGACGCCGTCGTCGTCCGTCGTCGTGTTCGTCGTCGTCGCGTGCCTGCGAGTCGGTCGATTGGGCGGGCGGGACCCGTCGTCTACGTCGACGTCCTCGTCGTCGTCGTCGTTGTCGTGGCCGTCATCGTCATCGTCGTCGCCGTCCTTGTCGTCGTCGTCGTCATCGTTTGCCGGCGCTGGGCGTCGTCGCCGTCGCCGTCGCCAGTGCCGTCGCCGCCGCCGCCGACGCCGCCGTCGTCCTCGTCGTGGTCGTCTTCGTCATCGTCGTCATCGACGTCGTGGGCGAGTCGGACGGGCAGGCGGCGGGGCACGTCGTCGTCGTCGTCACCCCTGCCTCGCCGTCTCCTGCCCCTCCACCTCCAGCTCCTACGCACCCTCTTGTTCCTCCTCCTGTCTCCTCTTTTTCTTCCTCCTCCGCGGCGTGGTAGACGTCGCCGTCGTGGTGGTGGGGGTCGTCGTCGTCATCAGAATCATCATAAGCATCACCACCACCACCACAATCATCCTTATCCTCATCAGCATCATCATCAGCATCAGCATCATCATCAACATGATCATCACCATCATCATAATCAGCATAAACATCATCGTCATCGTCATCATCATCATCATCATCCACATAATCATCCTCGTCATCATCACCGTCATCATTATCATCATCACGACCGGTATAATCTTCCTTCTCCTCCTCCTCCTCATCCACCTCCTCGTCATCACCATCATCTTCATCCTCTTCATTATCAACGTCATCATCATCATCATCATCATCATCATCATCATCATCATCATCATCATCATCATGATCATCATCATCATCAGTACAACCAACCTCATCATCCTTCTCCTCCTCCTTCTCCTCCTCCTCCTCATCATCATCAGCATCATCAGTATCATCAGCATCGTGCTTCTCCTCCTCATCATCAGCATGATCAGCATGAGCAAACTCATCATCGTCACCATCAGCATCATCATCATTATCATCACCATCATCATCATCATCATCATCATCATCATCATCATCATCATCATCATCATCATCATCATCATCATCATCATCATCATCATCATCTTCATCTTCATCATCAGCATCAGCATCAGCATCAGCATCATCAGCAGCATCAGCATCAACATCAGCGTCATCATCATCATCATGATCCTCCTCCGCCTCCTCCTCCTCTTGTTTCTCATCCCCCTCCCTCCGTCCTCGTCCTGCCCGCGTGCTTGCGCGGGCAGGGCGGCCCCCGCAGCAGGAGGAAGAGGCTCCTCGCGCATCTCGTTTTCCGTCTCGGAGAAGGGGCGGTCGTACTCGGCCCAGTCGTTGCGGTCCTTGGTCCAGGCGTGCGGGGATTGCGAGGGGAGGGGGAGGAAGAGAGGACGCGAGGGGACTGGGGAGGTGGAGGGGGCACGGGGTGAGGCGAGGGGGACTGCGAGGCACGAGGAGGGACAGAGCAATGAGGCGGCGGGCAGGCGAGGCGGTGCGAGGCACTGAGGGAAGGTAGGAGACAACGGGGGTCGGTAGGTGAAGCGAAGGCGAAGAGGGGCGAGAGAAATGGGCACGGGGCTGGGGGAGGGAGAAGATATGGGAATAAGGAGGAGGGGGAGCAAACACAACTGCGCACACATTTTCCTCCGCCATCACCACGGTCAATACAGCATGGGGCACAACACGGGCGCGAGCACACACACACACACACACACACACACACACACACACACACACACACACACGCACGCACGCACGCACGCACGCACGCACGCACGCACGCACGCACGCGCGCGCGCGCGCGGGCGGGCACACACACACACACACGCTTCTTTCTTTCTCACACGCACACACACTTATGGTCGCATGCAGCGAACAACTGGGGCGGAAGCCGCTCGAGCGCCCAAAGGAAGTTAAAGGCGGTCTAAAAGACTCAACAAGGCTACCAAGGATCGACCCTAGAAAACAGGCAAGCGGAAAGACATGGAACGCCAACATACTGTTTGATTCCCGGCCAGTTGATCCAACACAGCGAAAGATTAGCAACGCCGCTTATGAGAATTACCACCGAACGTTGTTGATGGAGTGAGTGGCGCTGTACGCCCAGTGCAGAAAAAAAGGGGGCATGCAGGCCATGCAATGCAAGCGCCTCCAAAGGAAAGCGCAACAAGAGGGAACGACTGTACAACGCGAGGCGGAAAGATAACCGCAAGGGCGGCTCCGCAGGGCCGCAGGGCAGAACGCCAAGACAGCAGGCGAGTGGCGAGGAAGAGGAAGCTTCCAAGACAGAAGCCTAGCGAACGACTCCGGGAAAGCAGAGTGGCGCCGACCCACGAGTGGACGACCTGGGAGAGCAAGGAGGGAGGAGCAGGAGACGCCTGGGAGCCAGGGCGAACCCAGCGCCGGCAAGCGAGAAGGGAGGGGACCGACAGACGACCCGAGGAGAAGGGGAGAACGAAACCCCTGGCGACCACCCGAAGCGCGGGCGGAAAGAGACCAAGAGCACCGAACAAATCCGTATCCGCGCCCTCGTGGCCTGGATTCTGGGGCGCGATCCCGCGGATACGCAATCGCACGGATACGTTTCGCGCGGGGCCTCCGAGAAACAACGCCCCGCATCCGCGGCGTCGCGGCCCGAGGGCCTGGCCCACGACTGCGCCGATACGGATCTGTCATTCGCCCACGAGGAGAGCATGACGCGACGCACGACGGCGAAGGAGGGAAGGACGATCCACCCTGCGGCGCGAGATTGGCTACAAGGCCAATTGCACGAGAGCGCCGGCGCGACCGCGGCCACCGCCGCTTCGCCGCAAAGCCTAAGCCAAGAAAGACCATCTCGCAGGCGCCAATACGTCAGCGATAGCAGGGAAGATCGGGGAAGCGTCAGACTCGGGTACGGGGGACTCGGGTTCGCCTGACGGGGTGACGAGACCCAATCTGAAATTTGACGCGAGCTCCCGCTGCACACATCCCACGAAAGCTGGACTGTCAAAATCCAGGACGTGCTCGTCAAACAGCGTCGGCAAACCCCAGTTTCGGCGTACTCGAGTCTTACGTTTCCCCGAGAAAAGAACGGCGGGGTGGCGATCGCAACACACAGGACAACAGGAGCGGGCACGCGGAAGCGCGCCGGGCGGGAGGCCCAAAGAGGTGGGCAGCCGATGCAGGCCCAGGAAAAAGCAGCCAACACCAGGGGAGACCGTCGCAGTCGGCACCTCCACGAGGAGAGAAGATCGGCGCAGACAGGTGCAAGAAAGGAGGTCCCGCAGGGAGGGCGTCGCAGTCGGCAACTTTACGAGGCATGCGTCGCACCAAAGGGGTGGCCCTGGCCGCCATAGGGAATGGGTGGTGGTCAGGAGGCCTTCCTTACACAACGAATAGCAAACATGAGAAAACGGCCGCCCAGCCATGGGGGGGGCACCAACCGCAAAATGCCGATCAGGGCGGCTTTGACCCGCCCGAGGCGGTGGCCCGTCCGAGGCGGTGGCCCGTTCGAGGCTGTTGCCAGGGAGGACGCTGGGGAGCGGAGGGCGAAACGGCGAGCGGGAGAGGAAAGCGCAGGAAAGGGTTTGGAATGTAGAGCACAAGGACACACCTGCGTTGCCAGCGGGCGAAGGGGACGGGCTCGGGGGACTTCCCTTGTAGCCGTGCGTCGACGGACATGCCAGAGTCGCGCGCGGTCTTCCTCAACTTGTCGTGGGCGTCCTGGAAGCTGTGGGGAAAATTATGCGCGCATCAATGGTTCCAAGTCGCTTTGCGGATGAGCCGGTCGGTGCTGTCGAAAACTGACCGGAAGATGGCCAGGCGCAGCAGGGCCACTCGTAATTCGCCGTTTCCAAAATCTTCCCACTGGTACACCCGGCACTTAGCAGCCGAAAGGTGTCGTAGTCCGCTGGGAGTTCCAAGGGGAACCCAGAGAAAGGCTGTCAAATTCCGCATGGCAGCGGGAGTGGTCCAAGCATGCGGGCCAGGAAATAAGATAGTGACAACCTTCCGTTCGATCGTCTGCCAGGCCGCCGGCATGGGGTCCAGCTTGAGCAAGAACGACACAATGGTGAAAACGTAGATGCGATATGCGAGGATGGTCAAGGGCATGCCGCCCCCGACGTCTCTCCACACAAGAGGCTCGCAGCAAGAATTTCTCCGTAGCTTCTGTCCCAGTGCTCCACCCGTTCGGGGCCCACCAAGGATCCCAGATAAGTTGCGCAGCGCTGGACAGCGAAGTCGGCCCCACGAGGGAGCGGCGCAGGCGAGCCGATGGCGAACTTGAGGCAGACGGTCCAAAGACAAAGGGGGCCAAATACTTTTCCCTTGGTGAAAACTGAGACCCGAACTCTGACAACTCTCTTCGAACAATTGCTCTGCCGCGTTCTCCACCCCGCGGGGATGTGCAACCACCAATTCTTCCGCGCAGACACGAGGCGCAGATGTCGGGAGAAGGCGGGGAAGACGACGCAGAAGTACATTAGACAACACTGCGAAAAGGAATGGCGACAATGAAGATCTTGAGCGGACCCCAGCCGTAAGAGTGAAACCAAGGAGGACGCCCCCTGCGGCAATGATGGAGCAGCGGTTGTTTTGGTATATAGCGCCGTGACCAAACGAACACACCATGGAGGCCATCCCCGGGACTCGACCGCATCCGGCAGGAAATCCTGGCACACACTTGGGAACGCCGCCTCGAAGTCGAAGAGAACGACTGCGGCATCATCGTGCATGAGAGAATTGTGCAGCATCGCCACCTCCAAGTCATAGAGGTTAGAAAGCATCGATCTGCCCAGATGAAACCTCGCTGCGCTGCAGAGATGGCGCGTACGATACCAGGTCCGATGTAACAGCGCACGGCACTACAAATTCGTGATGTCGAGGAACCGCATCGTGGCTGTGAAGACGCTGGTGCCCTCCGCCGTGATGACTACTGGTTCCTTTGGAAGGAAGACCGTGGAACTCTCGTAGAAAGCCTCCCAGTCCTGCGCCTACTGATCAAGCCCACCAGGGCAGACGATGGTCAGGAAGGCGCTACAAAGGACCCGGGCCACCATGAGGCCCAGCCGACAACTTGCCTTAAATGAATGCCGTCGGGCCCAGGAGAGCTGTCGCTGGTGTGTTGGATGGCCCTCTCGAACTCGGAGTACAGTACCACGTCGCCCGGGACATATCTGGCGAGATCAAGGGGAACATGGCGAACCTCCTCTTCCAACCACGCCCGTCGGAGTGGCGCATTAGTATCGCGCTTGCGGAAGACCTTGGACCAGCGTTCGCGGAGAATATCGGCCGCGTGCTCGGGGGCAGAACTCACGTGACGCTGAGCGTTGCAGAGGGCATAGATCGTGCAGCAACACATGAAAAATGAAACAGCTACACAGATGAAGGCCAGCTTGTTTTAAAGTGGAGCTCGCCTGAGATTTCATCAAAGTACCACCAGCAGTGTAACATCGCGCAACAGTTGCACGGATGGCGGGCGGCTCTCGCTTGTGGCTTCCCCAAATCTATCGGCCAGAAGCTTGAACATATGTGGCAACAGCATCGGGACAAGGAGCGCTTCCCTTTCAAAATGGGGGCGGTTGAACATATAAAGCTTGAAGACGGAGTGCGGCTCCTTTTCAAAATGGGGTTCTCGCGTGAGACTTCCTCAGCGGACAAGACTTCTAAACGAGTGCAACAGCACACGGATCGGGGGCGGTTCCTTCTCAAAACGGGGCTCTCGTTCGACACCTCATTGACGTTGTGACCATAAATCATCACATTCCCTCGCACTCGTTAGAGGAATGCAAGGCAGCTTCTTTTCAAAACGATGCGCTCGCCTAGTTGGTAGGCCCATCGGGGTCCTCGTCTTTCAAGGGTCGCTTGTTGTTGCAATGAGGGAGGATTGTGGGGACTTGCGAGGAACTTTGGAAGGGAGGGTGTATCCTCTTCATTCGTTTCATGCTCATCCTCCTCGCCTTCTTCCTCGACCCCTGCGGGACGGGAGCGCCGCGAATCCTCAAAGGACTTGGGCAGCGGCTTCCCGAACTGCTCCTGGGCCCCACCCCCACACAGAGGGGGTCGGAGGAGAGAGAAAGAAGAGCTGGAAGAGAAAGGAGGTCGACGACGAGGATGACAAGGAGTCCTCCTCCTCCTCCTCCACCTCCTTCTCACTCGTTTGCTATGACGCCTCCTGCTGTTCGCGTTCTTCCCCCTCCTTCCCAGAGGAGGAAGAAGAGTGAGACGATGAGGAACAGGAAGAGCGAAGAGGAGGAGGAGGAGTAGGACGAGGAGGAGGAGCAGGAAGATGATGAGGACGAGGAGTGAGGATAACAAGGGAGGCAGGGGGAGAGGGGGAGCCAGGAGGAGGAGGAGGAGGAGGAGAAGGAGGAGGAGGCGGAGGACGAGTGAGGCTCGGAGCCGCCTCTACGACTCCCACCATGGCACGTCATTTCGCGCTGCAGCTCGAGCTCCTGCATGCGGGCCCTGTGCTTGGCCTCGTCGCGCTTCACTTCGAAGGCCTGACGCGGTTCCTCGAGCGCTTCAGATGAGCCTCCCGCTCGCGCTCACGGCGGCGCGGTCGGCATCGGCCTCCTTCCCTCGACGCCTGGCAGCACTCGCAGAGGCGACTCCGTGACACGTCGACTGAAAGATGCCCATGACCTTGGAGGAGTAAATCGCGTCAGGGACTATCGACTCGATCCGTTCGATCGCAGCCCGAGCCATCTACCCGTCGGGCCCCTCCTCCCCACAATTCTGGAGGTTGGCCAACATGGCGCCAATACGACTACAACATGAAAGGCATCAATTGGAAGATACTAATTGCGGGAGGCGCGGGCGCGCGAGATCCGAACCGGAGTCCCCTTTGCCCACGTCCCTGGTTGCAGTGGACAGCGCGAAAGCCACCGCATGGCGACCGCCTGGACCGTGGGCGGAAGTGCTGTTCTGCACTCGGTGAACCAATCCTGCCGACTCCTTGACGTTGTCGCCGTAGGAGGAGAAGAATCGGGCGGCGTCTTTGTGGATAAGTACATACGGTCCGATCCCTCCACTCAGACATTAGTGCCTTCTCATCGTAATGTTGGGCCCCGACCACCAGATGACTAGACGTGAGAGGTGTGTGAGTACATCGTGCAGGGGCGCCCGCAAGGTGGCCGCAAATGCTTGTTTAGGCGCATGCGCCCTCTCTAAACAGTCCTTCCACTCCTCCTACTGCTCTTCTTCCTCATCCTCCTCCTGCTGCTGCGCCTCCTCCTCCTCATCATCGTCATCATCAGCAGCAGCAAAATTGTTATTATCACCATCAGCATCAACATCATCATCATCATCATCATCATCATCATCATCATCATCATCATCATCATCATCATCATCATCATCATCATCAACATCATCATCATAATCATCATCGTCGGTCCGCCCCGTTATCCTCCTCCCCATCACCCATACCCCCTCCCCCTGGCCAAGATCTTGTACCACCTTCGGTCGGCGCGGAGCATGTCGTGCGACAAGATGACTTGCTTGACAAACCTGGCCCGCCACTCCCGCTTTGCTCCCAGGTCACCATCCCTCTCCCTCAAACAGGCTGCGACAACGAAAACCTCCCCTACCCGAGAGTGCGCCAATGAGGTATTTCCCGAGTTTCGGAATGTGTGCCCACTTCGGGCTCCAGGACCGTCCGAAATCGATCCATCACGAAGAACTGGTCAGGATGAACCCCGGGAGGGGTCTGGGGCTTAATTTGAGTGGATATGGGCAACATCCTTCTCCACTCAGGACTCCACTCCCCCACCCTGCTCCTTCTCACTGTCCACCCGGCCCCCCCTTCCCTCCATCCAAGCTCCGTCTCTCTCCTCCCTATCCCATTCCCCCCTCCCCGCCCTGCCCCCCCGCGAGGTTAGTGGGGGAATGGGTTTAGCATGATCCCCCCTCTCCACGGAACCGTCCCGCCCATCCTCTATGCCTGCTTCCTCTTCTGTGCTCCCTGCCATCACGCACACGGTTCGCCCACACGTGCTGATAACTCGCGCGGCACGGTCCGATTGATCCCACCGCCGACCCGCCCGGAAACGCACTCGAATACCTGCGCTGGACCGCTGCTGCCGTACACGCATTGACTGGACACACAGGTCACCCGAGCCAGCCCAGTCCGTGCTCGAGCTGGTCTCGTCAGATTCGAGACCAAGGGCAAGCAACAACGACAGAACGGACACCAACTCATGCGCTTGACACAGACGACCGAACGGCACGGCATATAAAGAAACCTCGCCGACTTCAGCGGGACGGCGCAGGGGATAACAGGGGGCACCAGCAGGCGCTTATGGATGGCCCTCGTGAGCGCTGCCTGAGCCCAGGGGACCCTGCCAGCATCGGAAAGGCACGCCACGCGCGAAAGCCGACATCATAACTGGTCAGCACGGCTAAAAACGCGACATCACCTCTGGCTCGACATCAAAACCATCGGTACTCTCGGGGAGCTGCCACCCACGCCACGGCCACGCGACGATGACGCACCACCCGCAACCGCTGCTACCACGACCACCAGGTGCCACCAATACCTAATACCACGACTGTCACCGCAGCAACGAGCTCCAAACCTCCGACGAAGGCTCCCAAGAGCATTCGACCGCTTCCCACTGATCTGCCTGTCGTCGGGGGCCATTATCCGACGGGCCCCGGGCCTGCGGATGGCTCCCCGACGCCGAGAAGGGCGAACGAAAAGTTCGGCACGATTTTTTCTCGAGTCGCCAAGACGCCCGGGCTGACAGCCACCGCGGCCATTCATTCCGCTCGCCCCCCGTCCCTCCCCTTCTCTCCTTGCTGACGAGCACGGGCCAGAAGATGCGATAGCCAGCTGCTTCTGGCGATGGTCATCGGGAAAAGAACACGATCAATCCCCTCGTTGCGCCCGCCGCCCCGCCCCGCGGGCCCAAAGTCCGCCACCGATGGCCCCCGCCCACCCGCTCTTTTTACGAGGTCCATCAGCAACGCCGTGGCGCGCAAGGGCTACGCAGCCCGAGTAAGCTGTTGTCCCAAGATGGCTGACGTTGCCGCCCTTACACAGGCATGTGGCATTCGTCGCCCTAGGCATCATCGTGCACCTGAACACGTGCCTGCTGCTGCTGGTCAAACACGACCAGTGTAGCGGCCGTCGCCAGCACGAAAACGACGCCCGAGGCGCTCGCCTTGCTCCTCCTCGTCCCTTCCGTCTCTCGTCGCTGACGTCTTTGTGGGGACATCAACCGCGTCCGCATGTGGTCACGCCTCCAGCTCAAAATCGCTCCTGCTGCTGCTCATCAGCGCTACGGGCCGCCAGCCCATACGCAGCTGCTGCCGCAACCAGTTCGCCGGCGTGTACCCTGTACTCGTGCGCCGCCGCGCGAACCCCTTGTCTTTCGCGAAGATTCTGTAGGCCCAACTTCTGCTGCCGTGTGTGTGTGTGTGTGTGTGTTTGTTCCTGTTGGACGGCTTAATGTACAACTTCGCGGGCCGTCGCCGGACTATGCCCCAACTCTTTTGCAAGTTTCAGCGCCACCTCAACAGCCGCGCCATGACGTGTCATACGTATCTGTAGCTGCGAGTGCTGCTTCTCCTGCTGCGTTCCTCCTGCAATTCCTGGAGCCGCGAGGTAGGCGCAGGTGGCGGGCGATACGCCTCGGAAATCGGAAACGCCATGCCGTGACAGGCTTGGCGGCCCGCGTCTGCAAGCCAGGGGGAGGGCGGCCTGGTGACTCCTTGCGCATCGACGCTCGTCGTGACGCCAGAGGCGTCGCCTACCTCGTGGAACCATCCTGAGGACAAGTGGAACTGAGCCAGTCGCAATCACGCTGGCTGTCCCACAAGAGGTGTCTCCTCCGCGAGCGGGATTTGACTTGCTGATCCCTTTCGCTGTGCAGTGGTAACCGAGGCCCAATGCAGCGCTCAGGGCAGCACGAGCGATCCGTTACACAGCGGAGCTGGAGATGATGGGCTGGTCGGCGCAGGAGCTGCGGAGGTGGACGATGGCGGGCATCTGTTGGCAACATCCTGTCCTTGTGAACATGCGGGTCCGTCGCCCTCAGGAGGCCGAGGCCCCCTGACGCATGGTACCATGGCAGCATCCAGCCTCTGTTTGGTGCAGGTTCATTGTCTCGCAGAGCGGTGCCCCTGCTCTCTTGATGGACCGACACCGCCCCCGACCGTTTCAAAACTCCTCTTTGCCCTGCGCAGTCTTCCTGCATGGCTGATGGCTCCCGTTGTTGTGCAGGCTCGTAATGCGCAGTGCAAGTTCCATCCTTGTCTTGCAGCACGTGTGTCCCTGCCCTCTTGATGGATCACCCCCGCCCCCGCCCGCTCTTGAGCGTCGGCATCACGCGTCGCCTGCTCCAGGCGATATGTTTACTCCTTTTGCTGCCGTGGTCGCTCTCAGTGCGAGTCTGATGTGCAGTCGCAGCGCAATGCTGGGGCTCAGGTCTCCTCATTATGGGTCGCCCCCGCCATGCCTGCTCGCGTGCTTGTTTGGTGTCTGGCCTGCCACCTGGTCGGCGGTCCGCTGCATGTTTTGCAAGTTCGCGCTCTCCGCACCGTTCTTTCCGTGGCCGCTCAGCCCAAGGGACTCTAGAGTCTGTCTTCCAGTGCTTCAGTACGTGCGCTGGGACAGTGCACTCCACCCTGGCCCCGTGTTTGATCCCCCACCTAAGGCCTGGGTTGGGGCCAGCCCGTCCGGTGTTCGAGCCTCCATCGCTTGAAGTGACACCGCGCTTTCTCACCTACCATACTTGATTAGAGCTGGCGATCATGATGAGATATGCTCGATGCGCTGCGCGCCTGTCTCTCTGCGAGCATTGTGCTTCACAGCTTGATGCTTATGCCACCGTCAAACGACGACCCCTCTCTCGGGGACCTTTGAAATTGGCACTAGCACCCATGTCGGCGGTCGCCTCCACCAAAGGATTTCAGTGTTCAGGGTCAAGTTCGGACCTGTGAGGTCGCCCGAGGATCAACACCAACACCAAAACCGAGGATCGTATCCCGTTCCCCAGGACCGTGTGCTCGATCCCGATTCTCTTTGAGGGTCGTAGTGCCCGATAACAGGCCCCCTGGAAGACTCTGAGAAGGCGGCCGTGGTGATATGTCCGTGATACCCACGGCCTGGCTCCTGGGGTCAAAATCGACCCCAAGGAGCCCACACACAATGTTTGCTGGCCTGGAAGAGGAGACGACGGGTGCGGAAAGCAATCACTTCGCGGTCGGGATTGTGCGTAGGTGCTAGCGTGACTCAGGGGTCTGGTTGGTCATTTATTCTTGTCCGCGCCGACGGTCCCCGATATAGTTGGCCTGGTTGGGGTGTGCATAATGTATAATCTGGGTTGGCAGTCGTAGTCTGCTGTATTCGGCGGTGTCTCGCTGTGCGGAGGTGGGTGGGCGTGGCGCGTGAGCGAGAGGGATGGGGGGGGACAGCTGCTCGCGATCGGTTCATAGCGGCGTTCCCAGAATCCCACCAGCCCTTTGGGCGTGAGTGGTTTAGAGAGCCCGCTCTGTTCTCAACCCCCTTCTTCCCCTTCGGGGAGGGGTTTACCCCTCCCCCTACCCCCTCCCCCTGGGCCTGGAGAGGGCGCCCCGCGGGTGGTTGGAGGGGTCTTTTTCGACTCCTGGGAGGGCTAAAAAACGACACCCCTCACGAGGATTCTGGCCCCGACGGGGGGAGGCAGAAAAATGCTCCCCTCTTCTTTGAAGCCAGAATCATT